GCATGTTCCGCAGAGCTGTGATGTGGATGCAGCAGATGAGCTTGTTTCTCAAGTCTGTGACGTAGCTGCAGTAGATGAGCTTGTGCGTCAAATCGGTGACGCAGGGTAGATGAGCTTGTTCCGCAAGTGTGTGACGTAATTGCGGTAGATGACTAGGTGCTATGTATGGACTTGAGAACTTGAACCCCGGAAATGATCTTCGTAACCATTTGTGCTACGGCCTTGCCCTGATAGACTTGATAGAGTTATTGGGGGAGGGCTGGCTTCTAAATGCAGCCGGCATGGAGCGATACATCATGAATTTTTAAGTTCGTGGCGCAAGGTTAATTGCCCACCCTGGCTACGGCCGACAAGGCGAGCTGGCAATGATCCAAGCAAGGGCGGCCATGTGCGTTCACAGAGGGCACCCTGGCCGATGCTCGAGCTCGAGACATGGCTCGAGACATCGCCGCAGGGGCATCAAGTGCGAGAGACGCCATCTACCTGTAGGGTTCAACGGGTGGGGGGATTAGGTTCAGGGGGTTCAGGGGCTTCAGTTAGGGTTTTTAGGGTTCGGTGTACGGGGATTTCAGGGCAGGTTTGCAGGGGTTGGGGTTTAGGGGGTGTAGGGGGTTCAGGGGTTGAGGGATTCAAGGGGTTGAGGGTCCGTGGGTTCAGGGAGCTTGGGGGTTCAGGGGGCTAAGGTTACGGGGTTTAGATTTTAGGGGTCTGGGGGGTTAAGTGTTTAGGGGTTAGGCTCAAGTTCTGGACTAGAACCCGGAGCGAAACAGACCTCGTCATTGGAGCCACGATTAGAAGCCCTTGTAAAGTCTTGTGTACTTCGGGATTTCTTCTATTTAGAACTTGCTGGGTGTAACGGTAGTACTGGCACTTGTAATTGGGATACACCTACACTTACTACGTAGGTTATAAATACCGCGGACTTCCAAGCAAGTAGCAGATATCACAACGGGCTACAGCCTATGGGAGGTCAAGCGTTGACTATGCCTCTGATACTATTTCCCCCTAATAAAACAGGTGCTGCTTTCCGTGCTGGCTCAAGTGACGAGTTGAATGCCAGGGGAAGGGATCAAGAACAGGAGACAGCCTGAATTGGCCCTGCAGCTTCTAGCATGTATCCTGAACCGTAAGGTTTATGGGTTTAGTGGTTAGAGTTAAGGTTAGCTGGTATTTTTGTTTAGTTGTTGGGGTCCCAAGTTAAGAGGGTCTTTAAGATGTAGAGCTCAGGGTTTAAGGTTTGTAGGGTTAATTGCACACGGCATCATCTAAACCCCAAACTTTAAAGCTTAAACCCTTAATTCTAAAGTGTTGCATTCAGAGCATGGCTCGCGCAAGAACTAGCAGACATACTGCCAGTCGTGATGAGCAAAGTCGACAATGTTGTGAAAGCAACAAGGAACATGGAGGTAAGCATAATGTCAGCAAATCCATCAGCTATGATTATGACACTGGTGCAGGACAGAGCTAGTTGTACATGTTGTCCGCTTTGCGCAGATCAAGAAGTTGGAGAAGGACATGCTGGCTCTGCGGCAAGGTCTGGGACCCAACTGTTGTTGGATAAGATCATTATGTAGTGCACATTCTTGTTCATTTCGCGCATGCCTTACATGATTCGTATATTGGTATATGTATGTGTGTATGCATGCACTAAACGGACTACATGTACCCATCAGAGTTCTTGCGTGCCTAGTGGCAACACGCACCCACCGAGGTTCGGAAGCCAGTGCCGAAAAGCTCAGGCAAAGCTTGGATGAACAGCAGGCCGAAGCATCAGTGGCGTAGAAGATGGTAGCTCAAGAATTTAGGGGCATGTAGGGGCAACCCTCAACCCTAAACCCTAAACTGGTTCGAGCTGGATTTGAGGATCTTCGATTTGTAGGGCCCTTCTGTCATGCGCAGGAGCAGCTATTAGCGGCCTGCACTGCTGTGGAGTCTCGCCTCAGACCCCTCTTCGACGAGGACACTGGTGTTTAGGGTTTACGATATGGGGTTTCGGGTTTAGGGTGTAGGGTAAAGGGTTTAAGGTTTCATACGAGAGCCTTTGCAATCAGCTGCGCTGTTGAAGTCAAACGGAGCCCACATAACAAGGCAACAGCCATGGGCAACCTAAACCTAGGCAGCTCTAAACCTTAAACCCTAGGGTGAACATCTATCTATCTGACACTCAGACTCACGCACGCAGGTGCGAAGACTTGGGGGATTCCGAAAGTTAGGGATATCTTTTTGGGGAGTCTTTGTAGTTTCATAATGATTATAGTATATTGGGGTCCCTTTAGTTTATGAACGTAGTATATTAGGGTCTGTATTGGGGACCCCCTATTTATGGAAACCCTAAACTCTAAACCCCAAACCCTGTATTGGAGTCTATATTGGGGTCCACCTGTTTATGGAAACTAGCCGCTCGCATTTGTAGCGCGACGGCCCAGCATTTGCCTCAGAATTGCCCCGCCTGGAGGCCTGTGTGCGACTGGATGCTGCAGAGGCCGGTTTAAGGGTTTAGGGTTTAGAGTCTAGGGCTTAGGGTTTAGAGTCTAGGGCTTAGGGTTTCGAGTCTAGGGTTTAGGGTTTAGGGTTGCTTCACAAGTGTGTGTAAAGTTACATTTTTGTAGCTGACTTGGTCGTTATGCAGGAGTATATGCTTTAGAGGGACAGTTGTATTGTGGGTGACGTGCTGGGGTCACAAGGGGACACCAACTGCATACTTGAACTTTCTTGCAAACATGGTAAGGCTTAAGATATGTCGATTATGGGGTCAAAGGTTTGAAGCGTTTTGGGTCTTCGGGCTTGGGGATCTGCAGGCATAAATCCCTTTCTTTGTAATGAAGGCTGCTCAAGGGGGTGTCTCGAATATGGTCCCTTTTGCCGTCCCCTGTATATGTATATTGTGTGGACCTGAGTATCTTTTGCATCAAGCTTTTATAAGCTGCGGCAGTAACACCGCTTGCATGAAGCTGTGTGCAGCATGCTTTCATCTTTGTGGCTCATTCGCAGTACGACCCTGGTGTGGGCCATTTGTCAGGATCCATGTTGCAAAATTGAACCTTCATGAGCTAACGACCGTCAATCTGACAATGCTACAGATCGTAGTAGTAGAAGTAGTGTTGCTGAACGCAGTTTTCAACGGCGAGACCTATCCTGTTTGTCCTAGTTCTAGCTGCACAAACCTTCGCCAGCCAGGCCGATCTCAAGAAGCTGCCCATCGAGATCGGGGCAGTAGCCGAAGAAGGTGTGCTGCTAGACAGGTTGGACTTCACTGATACTTCAGGGGTGACAGTCATTCCTAACAGCAGTATCGGTTCCTTAGCCCTGACTGTGAAAAACAAAAACCCAACACCCTGAACCAATCTTCATTTCTGAAGGCTTGCCTGAGGAGCACATGCTTGAAGCAACAAAAGTTTGCAGCCCAAAGCACGGATCACATAACCCGTAATGATATCCTTCGGGCGCACTTAAGCTAACACAGTGTTGATATTAACATGTTGCTGCAGGCAAAAAGCGATGCGGCGACCTTGCTGCTGAGCGGTGCCAGCACGTGTTGGCATGCACTCTTCATCAGTCTCCCTGATCTTTAATCGTAGGATTTCCCTCCCTCCTTTTAAAAGCTTGTTTCATTGTGCTAATCTTCTGGCTGCTTAACAAACTTCTACTCGGTGGCTTTCCGAGTCTGCGTGGAACATTTCAGGAGACTTTTTTTCGCTTTGCTTTCTGCTGGTGTGGCAGTGTAACACACGCAAGGATGGCAAGTGCCATCGAGCAACTCCGGGAGTTCGCCACAAGCCAGGACTTTCCGCCACCACTTCTTCCGTTTTGGGCTAACGCCTTTACCTCACAGTTGAACTTCAACGTCCCCAGCATGCGATTCAGGCACAGGCTGATCATTTCATTCATGCTCGTAGGGCAGCAGCTTGTCCAAGCTCCCG